CATGATCGGATTAACCTGGGCTATCCAAGTCAGGGCACTGGCTCCCTACTTGTTAGAAAGTTCTCCGGCCAGACCACGTAAGCACTCTCCAACCAAAAAGCGGTTAGAGGAATTTATGGGAGGTTAGAGGAATTTATGGGAGGACGAGAGCCAGTTTGGTGTAGTGGTTAGGAGCACAGACTCTAATCTGGGAGAACCAGGTTTGATTCTCCACTCCTCTACATGCAGCTGCTGGTGTGACCTTGGGTCAGTCATAAATTCTCTCAGAGCTGTTCTCTCAAGGGCATTTCTTGAGAGAGCTCTCTCAGCCCCACTTATTTCACAGGATGTCTGTTGTGGGGAGGGGAAGGGAAAGGGATTGTAAGTCGCTCTGAGACTCCTTTGGGTAGTGAAGGGCAGGGTATAAAACCAATCTCTTCTCTTCTTCTTCTTCGCCAGACAGAGAGATTCTAGTAAGGGGCAAAAAGAGCAGTGTTCCCATGAGACGCCCAGGAGTCAGATTGGCCCAGCGCTGGGAAAATTCCTACTGCGTATTGTTGACACACCTTCAGGTTTGATGCTGACACTTAGTACATTTTTAAAAAAGATGCTGCCCTATTTTTGGCTAGCATCTTACAATGTGATGCTGGCTCCTATTCAGCGGTAGATCCCTTCCCCAAACCCAGCTCTTTGATTCTTTTAGGAGACTCACTAAGAGGGTCACGCCCTTCCAAATCCATTGAAGTCAATGGGCTTAGAAGGGTGTAACTAGGCTTAAAATGTAAATCCTTGCATGTTTTTAGACAAGGACTTGAAGAATAATTTTTGGCATCTGGTTCTCCTGTGTTTTATGTTTGACAGTGTGCTTTACTGTATGTTCTCCATCTGCGTTGTATTTTTCCGCTTTGGATTGAAACCGTCAGTGCAATCATATGTAGTGTTATTCCTGTCAAAAGCTCAATCGGTTTAAAGGTAAAGGTAAAGATTCCCTTGCGGAAGGGAAAGGGATTGTAAGTCGCTCTGAGACTCCTTTGGGTAGTGAAGGGCAGGGTATAAAACCAATCTCTTCTCTTCTTCTTCTTCGCCAGACAGAGAGATTCTAGTAAGGGGCAAAAAGAGCAGTGTTCCCATGAGACGCCCAGGAGTCAGATTGGCCCAGCGCTGGGAAAATTCCTACTGCGTATTGTTGACACACCTTCAGGTTTGATGCTGACACTTAGTACATTTTTAAAAAAGATGCTGCCCTATTTTTGGCTAGCATCTTACAATGTGATGCTGGCTCCTATTCAGCGGTAGATCCCTTCCCCAAACCCAGCTCTTTGATTCTTTTAGGAGACTCACTAAGAGGGTCACGCCCTTCCAAATCCATTGAAGTCAATGGGCTTAGAAGGGTGTAACTAGGCTTAAAATGTAAATCCTTGCATGTTTTTAGACAAGGACTTGAAGAATAATTTTTGGCATCTGGTTCTCCTGTGTTTTATGTTTGACAGTGTGCTTTACTGTATGTTCTCCATCTGGGTTGTATTTTTCCGTTTTGGATTGAAACCGTCAGTGCAATCCTATGTAGTGTTATTCCTGTCAAAAGTTCAATCGGTTTAGACTGCAGTAATTCTGCATAGGATTGGACTGTTAGTCCTCCTCTCCAGCAGGAGAAGGAGGAGGAGAGATGGATTTATACCCCACCCTTCACTTGGAGTCTCAGAGTGGCTTACAATCTCCTTCCCTCCCTTTCCCTACAACAGATACCCTGTGAGGTAGGTGGGGCTGAGAGAGCTCTGAGAGAACTGCTCTTGAGAAAACAGCTCACCCAGCTGGCTATATGTGGAGGAAGAACAGGGAATCAAACCCGGTTCTCCAGATTAGAGTCCGCTGCTCTTAACCACTACACCAAACTAGCAAACTTTAAAAGACAACAAAAGATTCTGCTTAATCCCAGTCCTGGGCTTTGTACTTCTTCAGAAGTCCATAAGAATGGCACAGGATCTACATTTATTTTGTTATTTATTTACTTCACTTTATTTATTCACTTACTTTATTTAATTATTTATTTACTTCATATACGCCTTTCTCCCTAGTGGGGCCCCATAGTGGCTCACATTTTTCCCTTTTCCATTTCATCCTCACAACAGCCCTGTGAGGTAGGTTAGGCTGAGTGTGTGCAAATGGCCCAAGGTTGCCCAGCGAGATTCCATGGCAGAATGGAGGGGGATTTGAACCTGAGCCTTCCAGGTCCTAATACAGCACTCTGACCATTACATAGCCGGGAGTCATAGATCTCCAATGTCTTGTGTGGTAGGGACTGAGGTTTGAACCCAGAGTTTTTAAATCCTAATTCAGGAGTCCCCAAAATAGTGCCCGTGGGCACCATGGCACCAGCAAACACCTTTCCTGGTGCCCGCCAAGTGTTTTTTAGAAAGTGGGTGGCGTCACATGGGGCTTTTGCCCAGCAAGACTTTTGATTGGCCACTGGAGATTTGATTGGCTGTGGAGATTTTTAAAATGTTGCTTTGGCTGCACAAGGATCTGCACTGTGTGTCTGAAAGGAAGCTATGGCAGCCATTTTGTGGCTGGCTGCACCTCCTGCTATGAGCTCACTGTAACATTTCTAAGACATCCTGGAGCCGCGAAGGGTCTTGCACGGCCCATTGCCCATTTTAAGATTTGTTGTTGTTCAGTTGCACAGTCGAGTCCAACTCTTCGCAACCCCATGGACATTTTAAGATTACAGCAGTTATATTCTGCTGTCGCTCGACGCGCGGCTCGGCGGGGGGGGGGGGGTATAGAGGGAACATTGGTCCTAAGAGCACTTTCCTAGGTGCAAGTCCCACTGAATAACATGAGATTTACTCTCATCCATTTGCAAGCTGTGGTGGCTTAGAGGTCAAGATGCTGAGCTGCAGACCGGAAGGTCAGTAGTTCAGCAGTTCGAGACCCGAGTGTGCCGCATGACGGAGTGAGCTCCCGTCTCTGGCCCCAGCTCCTGCCAACCTAGCAGTTCGAAAGCAAGAAATTGCAAGTAGATAAATAGGTACTGCTTCAGTGGGAAGCTAACAGCGTTCCGTGCACCTTGGCGTTTAGTCATGCTAGTCACATGATCATGAAAACGTCTTTGGACAGCGCTGGCTCTTTGGCTTGGAAATGGAGATAAGCACCACCCCCTAGAGTTGGATTTGACTAGCTTTTGAGCAAGGGAAACCTGTACCTTTTAGATCCATTTAGGATTGCTCCCACTATTGCGTATCATGCTCATAGGAAATAATTTCAAAGCCAGAATACGATTTGAAACTGCTGAATTAGCAGACCTCAAGAAATTCAGCACTAACTTTCCCCCAGGTCTGAACAGGAATTTGGATTTCCTCACTCTCTGTAGGTGCTAGTAGTTTGACACATGACACACCTTCTACAGACGTCAGTCAGTTCTGCTGATCCTGTTTCTCACACTGCACCTTCCTCGATTAAATCGGATTTTATGTTAATACAACTTGGCCTATCTATCTAAAGTTGGGAGGGGTCGTCCTCGCCCACTCTAAAACAGAATGACTTCTCTTGGGTTCTTCTTTCAAGCTGGCCTCTCTTTGTAATGTCTCCCCATTCCTTCAGCTGCAAGAGGGAATTAGATAAGCATATGGAGCAGAAGTCCATCAGTAGCTATTAGCCACAAAGTATAGATAGGAACTCTCAGGCTGGGGCAAGGGATGCTCTGTATTCTCGGTGCTGCGGGGGGAAGCAGTGGGAGGGCTTCTAGCGTCCTGGCCCCACTGCTGGACCTCCTGATGGCACCTGGTATTTTTGGCCACTGTGTGACAGAGTTTTGGACTGGATGGGCCATCGGCCTGATCCAACATTGGCTTCTCTCTTATGTTCTTATGTTCACTTCCACTGCTTCTAATGGTAAGTATAAATAACTGTTACAGATATTCAGATCCTGTATCTGACAAAGAGAGTTCTATTTCAGGGAACATTTCTGTGCATTATCAATTCTATTAGGCCTTAAGGTACCCCTGGACTCTTGTTTAACTTTTGCTGCCACAGACTAACCCCACCCATTTGGAACAGCTGCCTTCCCATTAGCTCCCATTTTTAGCAGCCTCTCGGGCAGAAACAGTGACTGTCAAGGGGAAGATGGAGCTCCACGTTCGGATGGCGATGAGCCTACTATCGGAGCTCTAATACAATCGGTTCTTGGAAAAGCTCATAAAGCATTTTATAGACAAGGGGGAAAACAAGGGCGACACATCTGTACACTTTCCGAAATGTTCCCTTCCTCCCAGAAATTTCCCTTAAAACAAAAACAAAACACCCTCCGGCCATGGAGCAAAGCCCTCCACAGGAGTTTTGTTCTGCCAGCCAATACCTTCTTTCATCTGGCTCGACAAAGGGACCTTTGACTCTGTAGGGCTGCCAGCCCTGGGTTTGGAAACACCTGGATATTTGGGGGAGGAGCCTAGAGAGGAGGGGGTTGGGGAGGGACCTCATCAGGGTGCAATGCCACAGAGTCCACCTTCCAAAGCCGCAGGTTTTTTTCCAGGCCAGGGGATCTGATCTCTGTCACCTGGACATCAGCTGTAATGGCAGGAGATCTCCAGGCAAATATAGGGTTGCCAGATCCCGGTTGGGAAACTCCTGGAGATTTTGGGATAGAGCCTGAGGAGGACAGGGACCAGTGAGGTACGATGCCACAGATTTCACTCTCTAAAACTAACACCCATTTTCTCTGGGAAAACTAATCTCTGTAATCTCGCAATGAACTGTAATTCCAGTGGATCTCCAGGTCCCCCCAGGAGGTTGGCATCCCTAATTATCTGGGTGCCACCTGGAGGCTGGCACCCCTAACTCTCCAAAACTTGTACCCTGAAAAAATCTTGTTGGGCCTCTAAGGTGCTTCTGGATTCGAATCCAGCTCTTCTAGAGCAAACCAAGCCGGTTGCTGCCCTGTGAAACTACCGGCGTCTGGGACGCACCAGCTGCGCGGGCCTATCCGTGGAGCTCCTCCGCTCCATCTCCTGCCGCGGCCTGGGAACTGGGTGGGGAAGGGAGCGCGCCGCAGCCCACCCAATGCCCGAGCGGGGCGGAGCAGCCCAACTCGGCCGGAGCCCCGCTGGGCTGGTGGAGAGCGCCGCGATGCACAAGGCAGAGGCCCGGCCACGTCAGCACGACCACCCGGGGGCCAGTGCCAGGGGAGCCGCGGCAGGAAGCGACGGGGGCCGCCCTCAGCCCGGCCTGGCGCCCCCTGGACCCATGGAAAGCTCCGCGGGGCTGACGCTGGTAGGACCGGGTCGGGGGGAAAGACGCGCTGCGAGGGGAGGGCGCAGAAAACCCAGCAGTGGCCTTTGGGGAAAGGAAAAACTTTCTGGCCCGCTCGCTCACTTTCTAAACTTTATCCAACTCTTTCGCCTTGGGAAGGTGGCACTGGGGAGGCGCAAAGGAGAATCTTGGCTGGGACGCAGCGAGGGTTGCCAACGAGCCTGGAGGAAAACAATGGCCCGTCCCCTTAATGGAGACTTAATGGCATTTTTGCCAGGTCGTGTTATTTACTTGCACGCCCATTTCCACGCATTAAACCTGTGTTAAAGGGGAAGGATCCCCCCCCCCCCCCCCTCCCAGCTTTTGGCCACCCGACAAACACGGGCCAAACGCCAAGGGTGCACGGGAAAGGATATTGATTGGATAACAGTAGGTCATTCCCCCCTCCCCCCGCGCAGATTCTACTTGGATCAGGAAGGTACAAGAGACGAAAACATGATTAGATCCCCTGACAAAGGGAACGCAAAATGTGCAGGGACTGGAAAATAAAAAGATCTTTATTGACGTATTTTTATAGCAGGTGATGATGATTGTTATTATCAGGGCTTTTTTTGTAGAAAAAGCCCAGCAGGAACTCATTAGCACAATAGGCCACACCCAACAGCAGAAACTCATTAGCCTATTAGGCCACACCCCTGACCGCACAGCACATTAGCATATTAGGCCACACCGCTTGCCTGGGCGCCCCACGGCTGCGGGGAGCCCAGGCAAGCCCCCCCTTGAAGGGAAGGGAAGGCAAGCCAGCCCTTGGACAAGCTGGGGAGGCATTTAATGCCTCCCCGATCCTTCCAGGGTCCCCCCTGGCCTGTCCACCTCACAATCGCCAGGGGGGTCACTCTCCAGGCCTTCCCTCTGTAGCCAGGCACGCAGAGGTTTGGCTGTAGTGGGCGTGGCCAGCTCTGAAGACAGCCGGAACTCCCTTCCTGTGCGTTCCTGCCCCAAAATAGCCATGATTATTATTATTATTATTATTTGTTATTACTATTATTATTGCTAGATATGATGAACATCTGGCCCCTCCATTTTAAAAATTCCTAGCCAGCTAGTAGAAGACTGACACCTCAGAAGGGACGCTTGGCTGGATGAGTCTTCGTTCTCAGTCCTCACGCCTTCTGTATGGTGGGTTTTTTCCCTTATGGATGCACTTCCAACCATCTTTGCCCTCTTCCGCAAGCAGAAGTAATTCTGGCCGGTGGAGCCGGCACCAGGCCCACAGCCCGAATTTTGTTGCTTGTGGGGCAAAAACATTTCGGGTGGGGCTGCCTTTATTTATATGTCAGCTCCAATCTGCCCCCAAGCCCAACCGCCGGTGGCCACCCCTCTCCCTCCCCTCCTGTAAGATTTAAAGGGCCCTTCAGCTGATTGGCGGGGAGCATGTGGCCCACCAATCTGCTGGCTGGCCCTTTAAATCTTGCAGGAGGGAGGGAGCAGGGCACATGTCGTCTCCCACTTAAAAAATATTCTCAAAATTCTTGTGCGGCTGGCCCCTTAAGGAAGGGGGCAGAGCCCCCAATAGCCCCACTGTAGCTACAGGCTAGCCGGGCATCAGCATTCCCTGAGGGAGGGCAGCTGCCAGGGCCCAGTGTGGATACCCCACTGCCACTCACTCCTTTGCTTGTGCTCCCAGCTACACTCACTTCCCAGAGCCACTGAGGGGAATGGCTGCAGACAGTGGTGAGTGTGGGCAGTGGGAGAGCTCCTAAGCTGGCAGGCGAAGGACACACGGGCAGGTGGGTGGGGGAAAGGGAGGGAGGACATGCGTAGGGCCAGGTGGCGGGCAGAAGAGAGGGTAGCCTGGGAACTCTGTGCCCAGGGCCCCTGGAAACCTGGCATTGGCCCTGCTGGCCAGGCATCAAAAACAAACAAAAAAGAGGTTAACAGAGTCATGGCCTGTTCTCCAAAGAAGCCATCCAAGCAACTGTTAGATGGGCACTGGCCATTAGGTGGGCACCGGGCTCCACTCGCTCCCAGCCGTCAGCAACACAGGGGCCACAGGCATCCCCTCCTAAGCCCATGCCACTGCTGGCTAGGTCCAAGGCAGGGGCTAACCTACCTCACAGGGTTGTGGTGAGGATAACATGGAGAAGGGGAGCCTGCTGTATGCTGCTCTGGCATTTGAATAGGAAGTGTTTTCTCTGTTATGGGTATGTCCCCGCTGCTTGTTTTATGGCTGCCCACTATTGGATCACTATGCAAAACCCTAAATAGAGACGCTTAATTTTATTCACTAGATCAGCCAAATGTGTTGGAAGGCTTAAAGGCATTCCCTGGATGGAAAGAAAGTGTTCTTGTGCTTCTAGAGCAGAGGTGTCGAACTCATTTGTTATGAGGGCCGGATCTGACATAAATGTTACTTTGTTGGGCCAGGTCATGTGTGTCATAAAATGTAATGCCAGCTGCCGGAGATATAAACTGCAAAAAGGACAGCAGCGGGTAAGCTCCGAGTTGGTGTATCCTCATTGCAAGGCCTCATGGGGTGCAAAGGAAAATCCATTTGGGTGGACTGGAAAGCCAGCGGTGCAGCACTAGGCAGATGCCCCCACACCGTTTGACTGCTGCAGACGAGGTTGTTCTGCCATGCCGAAGCCACAATCGGAGTGGCTCCGCCCACTCTCCCCTAGCAGTCTCCTGTTCCCGCCCTTGCACTAGTTGCTCGCAGGCCGCTTAAGAGCTCTGGATGGGCTGGTTCCGGCCCCCGGGCCTTATGTTTGACACCCTGTTCTAGAGCAATAGAAAATGTTTCACTTGTGCTGTTACATTGTCCCTTGTTTGTTATGCACTAATGTTGCACCGGTAGTGGCTCCATTTAAATTAGAAGCAGCGCAAGTACCATGGTATACTAGTACATTCTTGTTCTCTAGCATCACGTCCAATCTGCTGATGTTCAAAGTGGTGCTCAGCAAGGCTGAGATGATACAAGGGAGACGAGCACATTATTTGTGAGAAATGTACTTATTTACATCTTTTCCTCTCTGTCTTTCAACCCAGCGGGTACCCAACACGGCTTACTTTGTTCTCCCCCCCCCCATTTTATCTTCACAACCACCCTGTGAGTTAGCTTAGGCTGAGAGTGTGTCACTGGACCAAGGTCACCTAGCGAGTACACCACACTGACTCTCATGTGGTGGTAATTTGAGCAAAGTTTGAGTCCAGTGGCACCTCTAAGGACAATACATTTTAATTCTGGGGTATAAGGTTTCCTGTGCATGCACACTGCTTCAGATACATATGGGTAATCTGTTAAGTCATAGCAGCAAATATAGAATTTGTAATGCAAATCGGATGTCCTAATTGGATGATGTGTATTAAGAATGGTAATAGGGCAAACCAGGGTTCCAGGGGAATATGCAGTATGGAGTCTGGCTGTTGCTTTGGCTCTTTTAGCTTTGCAACAACCTACTCCAAGGGTGTAACCCAGGGAATACCACTGCCTCTTGGAGGGGTTGCCAGGGCACAGGAGAAGAGCCCACCAGCAGTGTTCCCTCTAAGCTGAGGTAGTGTGAGCTAGCTCACAGTTTTTTAGCTTCTGGCTCACGGATTTCTGTCTTAGCTCAGGAAGGATGGCTCCAGAGCAAACTCGTTTATGCAGTAGCAAAATTGCTTGCTCACAACTTTAATGCCAGTAGCTCCCAAAGTAGAATTTTTGCTCACAAGACTCCACAGCTTAGAGGGAGCATTGGTCAGTGGTCACAGGGGAGAAAAACCCCTCACCTCCCACAGCCACTTTCCAAGCAGAAGTTGGGGGAGGCAGGATTTTTACTGAGGGGCAGGAAATGGGCGTCAGTGAATGCTCCCTCTAAGCTGTCGCGTCTTGTGAGCAAAAATTCTACTTTGTGAGCTACTGGCATTAAAATTGTGAGCAAGCGACTGCATAAATTAGTTTGCTCTGGAGCCATCCTTCCTGAGCTAAGACAAAAATGTGTGAGCCAGAGGTTAAGAAACTGAGCTAGCCCACACTAACTCATCTTGGAGGGAACACTGAAAGTGGCCACCACTGCTTAGGTTCCCGGGGATTTGGAGACCGAGAGGGCCATCCTAAGCCCACTGACTTCAATTTATTTATTTACAGTAATTATTTATTTATTCAGTGGACTCAGAAGGCTGTGACACTGCTTCGGATGTCATTGTAAGCCCCCTGACTTAACGGCGCGAAAACTCAAGGTTACCCGATTTAAACTCCTGACATGAATTTATCTAGCTGATCTCCCCCTAACCTAGCTACCTTCTCTTAATATTCTTTGCCAGCATCCTCTGTCTGTCCAGAGAGCTGGAAATGAGAGCCGCCCAGGGTTCCTTTGATTAAGTCACCAGCAACTGGCATTAATAAAAAGGGGCTTTCCCCAAATCTTCCCTGGCCACAGAGTCATCACTTTCTGGCTTGCCTAGTCCTGACACCCGAAAAGAAAAAGATCTCTTGTTATTTCCAGGAACCATCCCTCTACACCATCAAGGCGATTTTCATCTTGGACAGCTTTGGGCAAAGACTTCTGGCCAAGGTTAGTGCCACCAGTGGCTTGGTCGATAGCCTAGTCTGGTTTTGAGAAGGTGTCAAGATAGAGTTACAGATACCATTTGAAAGTTGGGGAATGCTGAATCTCTCTTGAGGGGATTCGTGCCACTTGCTGAAAATGAGACACACAATTTATGTATTTATTTGGTTTCTGTCCCACCATCCCTACAAGCGATAGATCAGAGATACAGAAATCAGCCCTGACTGTTCCCTGGGAAGCCAGATACTGAAGCTGAAGCTCAAATACTTTGGCCACCAAATGAGAAGGGAGCACTCACTGGAGAAGACCCTGATGCTGGGAAAGATTGAAGGTCAAAAAAGAAAGGGACGGCAAAGGATGAGATGGTTAGACAGTGTTATCGATGCAACGAACATGAAATTAAGCAAACTCCGGAGCACAACAGAAGACAGGAGGGCCTGGCGTGATGTGGTTCATGGGGTCGCGAAGAGTCGGACTTGACTGTGTGACTGAACAACAACAACAACAAAAATCATTTACAAATGATAAGTTTCCCATTCTTTCTGTTGAAAACTCAGAACAAATTACCTATGGCTCCCGGGCAGTCTGTCTTTGGAACCATAATGATTTAAATAATTATCATATGGCAGTGTGTGTAGTATAGCCATGAGATCCTAAGATTGTCTGGCAGGCAGAAGTTCTAGCTCTTTTAGCCTTATGCACCACTAGGCTTGTTTTGAAGGCAAGAGACATTTCAGAGTGGTTTGCCATTAACTGCCTCTGCGTCATGCCCCTGGTATTCCTTTGAGGTTGCCCTTCCAAATACTAGCCATGGCTGACCCTGCTTTGCTTCCGAGATATGACGAGATCGAGCTAGCCTGGGCTATCTAGGTCAGGGCTACTGGAACAGTGACCAGATCGGACAGCTTGAATCCAGGCTACCAGACGGACTGCCTCCTTCCATGTGTGCTGGTCTGCTGTAGGAGCCCACGATGGCAGAAGGGTGCCTGGTGGGGACCCTCAAGCAGGCCTTTTGGTAGCCCCCCATACATCTTTGGAACTCCATGAGTTGCCCCTCTTTGGAACTCCTTACCCTATGAGTTGCATCTGGCCCCCATCAAAAAGGTCATCCAAAAAGAGCTTTAGAAACTATTTTAGAATGCCTTTTGAAATCAATTCCTATCCCAGGATTTCAGTCGTGGATTAGTTGCGAGAAGTTTTTTAATCTCTCGCCTTTTTGACTTTATAAGAGAACGTAAGAACTGCCCTACTGGAACTGATTAAAGGCTTGAGTGCTCATGAGCAAAGACCAAAAAGTGACAGCCTTCATTTCTGAAATGCTCCCAAGCAACTGGTGTTTAGAGATATACTGCCACTCGATAGGGAGGTTCTATTTAAGTATCATGGATGATAGCCGTTGCTGGACCTATCTTCCATGAAAACAGTTCTTCAACAGGCTGTACTAAATTTAATATCCAAGGGCTTTTATGCTTGAGTCAAGCTGAAAATGGGAATTAGATGTAAAAGAAAACAGGATGGTTGTAGTAATAGGGCATTCCTAAATTCATTCCTAAATTTGTACGGGTGAAGGGAGTCAATACAATATAATTTTTCAGGATATTTAAAAAAAATTCTCCAAGTGGCAGATGTTCCCCATTCAGAAATTATAAACCTTTTTTCAAATAACAACTGGAATTGTTAGAAAAATGCTGCTCACCGAGGAAGGGAAACGAGATGGCTAGTTTTAAAAACATTGATGCAGCTCAAGCTCGAACAAAGTTGATGCTTAGTTGTGAATTATCTGCCCACTAGCTGTCTCATTCCACAAGACATTCTTGCCTGTCTCTTCACAGTACTACGACAGCACATTTCCATCCACGAAAGAACAGAAGATCTTTGAGAAAAATGTCTTCAACAAAACTCACAAGACTGACAGTGAGTATGCAACTATTAGGGATGGAAAGAGACCAGCAGACGGCAGCTCCTGGCCTGAATCTGGCCTTCGCCCTCTAGCTCGATTCTCTTCTTCCTCCTCCTCCCTCTGCCAAATACAGATATTTGAAGTGGCAGTTTTGAAGAGACACGGATCCAGTGATAAAGGGGAAGACAGAGAGCGGAGGAGAAAACAGGAGCTGCGGCATCAGTGATGAAGGAAAGAGGCCAAATCAACAGGCCAATTTGAGGAGGCTGGGGGGGTGGGGGTGGATTAGAGTTGCCAACCTCCCGGTGGTTAAAGTCAAGGACAAGAGATCACAGGACAGGCTGAACTTTGTAAGGAAAAACAACCGTGATATGATAATGAAACCTTGTTAGAGAAAAAATATCTTCTTTTAAGTATCCAATGAATAATAAATCATAAAGGTGTTTTATTTGAAGTAAATTGGTCTCAAGTTTTTCTTTCTGATGGTACAGCACTCAATAGACGGTTTCACTCAAGGTTTCATCAGATGAGACCTTACACCTTTTGTATTTTTCTACTCCTGCTAGAAAGGAAGAGGGAGTAGAAAAAATAAAAAAGGCATAAGGTTTAATCTGATGAAACCTTGAGTGAAACAGTCCATTGAGTGCTGTACGTCAGAAAGAAAAACTTGAGACCAATTTACTTCAAAGAAAACACCTTTATGATTTGTTATTCACTGGATAATTAAAGAAGATATATTTTTCTCTAACAAGGTTTTGTTATCATATCACGGTGGTTTTTCCTTACAGAGCTCAACCTCCTGGTTGTGGCTGGAGATCTCCTGCACCAAAATGTTTCTGACTGGCTACGCGCAGACTATATGGGACTTGTTTACCTTCAAAAGGGCTACCAGGATCAGAGAGCACAAAGCTTCCTCAGAGCCGAAAGACTCAGTCCAGTACAGCTGAATGACCCAATTAAAGGGCAGCGACTAAGGGGAGTAAGGTTGCCAGCCTCCAGCTGGTGGCTGGAGATCTTCAGGGATTACGGCTCATCTCCAGGTGACAGAGATCAGTTCTCCTGGAGATAGGGTTGCCAAGTCCTATCTTCACCCCCTGCGGGGGACTTTGGGGGTCGTTCCTGGAGGGGGCGGGGCATCCCCATGTGATGGTGTCATGTTGGGGATGTCCCCTGCGTCCGCCCACCCAACAGAGGCGCCGGTTCCCTGCAGTTAAAGGGGCCCCTGTAACTGCAGGGAACCGGTGTTTCCCACCTCTGCAGGGCTCTTCTTCTGTTCTTAAGCCTCCCACGGTCTGCAAGTGGCAGTAGAGCTGCCAATTTTTAAACAGGTCCCTCTAGCTGTCCCTTGAAAATTGGTTCAATCCACAGCAATTATCAGGTGCTATATTTTATATGGAAAAGCTTCCACTGCACATTTCTGCTTGTTGAACAGTGGGACAGGGCAATTTTTTTTCTTGGCAACCATAATCAGAAACATCCCACATAGGGTTACCAACTCCGGGTTGGAAAAATCCTGGAGATTTTGGCGGCCGAGCCTGAGAAGGGTAGCCCTTTGAAGGTAAACAAGCCCTATCCGGTCTGCCTGTGGCCAGGGAGAAAGGTTTTGGTGCACTGTGGCTGCACCCACTTAAAAAGGTCAGCCCGGGACAGAGTGAGTGAGCATCTTCAACATTAAAGAGCGTGCAAAGGCAGACGGAGGAGTGCAGAATTCTCCAAAACCCTGTCCCAGCAGTGGTCCGAATAATTTCATCTCTCTTTCCCCCCCCTCCTCAGGTGAGATCGCTTTTTTGGAAGGTCTGACTATTGTCTATAAAAGCAGCATTGACCTCTTTTTGTATGTGGTGGGGAGCTCCAATGAAAACGAGGTAAGCCTTGCTTCTGAGAACAGTTTTCTAGCAAGGAGGAAGAAAGGGATGCCAGTCCCCAGGTGGGGGCGGGGGATCCCCCAATTTTGCGGAATCCTGTGCCGGCAGCCCCCATTTGTAAAAAAACATTTAAATCAACCCTTAAATGCTTTTTGGCACCAGGCTGCCTTCCTAACATGATGACGTCACTTCTGCGTGATGTCATCATGTTGTGGACATCCCCGCACCCTCCAGGAAGCCCCCCAAGTCCCCCACCGGCGAATGGACAGGACTTGGGAATCCTAGAGGGAGACCACCAGTTAACAGTGAAGCCAGGATTCTCCCTCACCCCCACCCCAGTCCGGCACCCATTCTCACACTTCCTTTCAGTTTTGTCCCTCACAGTTCAGATGATGCTTTTTTTTGGGGGGGGGGGTAGCTCATTTCCCCTCCTTGAAGGCGGATCATGCAGGGATCCCCAACCTTTTTGAACCTCTGGGTACCTTTTGAATTCTGAACCGTGTGTATGGCACAAAATGGATGCTATAGGAGGCAGGGCCAGGCATAAAATGGCTGCCACAGTGAAGATCCTTGCTCTGGGGAGGCAGTTGCTGCCAAAGGAACGTTTTTAAAAATCTGCATAGCCAGTGGCCAATGAGAAGCCTAGACTAGCAAAAAAACCTACCTGGCCCTGTCCACTTTCTAAAAACACTCGGCAGACACCAGAGAAGTTGTCGCCGGAACCCCTGCTTAGTGGACTTTGGATCATGCTCATCAGCTTCTGTGACATATATCTTGTTTCTTTGCTTCCGGATTTAAATTGCGGCCTTATTGGGTAAGGACTGTGCTCTCTTTGTACTTCGTTGAGCACGTAGTCCTCAGTCAGGGAAAATATGTGTTGAGCAGAAATGGTACGCCGCTTGATTTGTTTGGGGAGGGGCTGTGGCCCAGTGGCAGAGCATCTGCTTTGCATGCAGAAGGTCCCAGGTTCAATCCCCAGCATCTCCAGTTAAAAGCAATAGGCAGCGTGTGTTGCGAAAGACCTCTGCCTGAGACTGCAGGGAGCCACTATGAGTCACTGTAGACCGGGGGTCCCGAGCGTTTTTGAGCCTGCAGGCACCTTTGGAATTCTGACACAGCATGGTGGATGCAGCAGCAAAATGGCTGCCACAGAATGGCTACTGCAGAAGGCAGAGCCGTCACAAAATGGCCTCTGCAGCTTGCCTTCAGTCACACAGTGAAGATCCTTCTGCTGTGGTGGCAGCTGCTGTCAAAGCAATGCTTAAAAAACCCTGCCCAAGCAATCAAGTCTCCAGCGCCCAATCAGAAGCTTGGCTGGGGCAAAGCCTCATCTTGCCACCTACTTTCTAAAAACACCTGGCGGGAACCAGGAAGATATCTGCGGCAGTGTTCCCTCTAAGCTGAGTTAGTGTGAGCTAGCTCACAGTTTCTTAGCCTCCAGCTCACACATTTTTGTCTTAGCTCAGGAAGGATGGCTCCAGAGCAAACTAATTTATGCGGTAGCCAAACCGCTCGCTCACAAAGTAGAATTTTTGCTCACAAGACTCCACAGCTTAGAGGGAGCATTGATCTGCGGGACCCCATGGGCAGTATGTTGGGAACCCCTGGCGTAGAGAACGTAGACCGTGATGAACCAAAACTCTGGCTCGGTATAAGGCAGCTTCATGACTTCATGGATGCTTGCCTTCCTTCCCTGACCCTGCTTTGTTTTTCTTCTTCCACAGCTGATGTTGATGTCAGTTCTCAACTGTCTCTTTGAATCCCTCAATCACATGCTACGGTAAGTATGGCTAATCCTGGAGGAGATCACAGACAATGGGGTTAGATCCAATGGGTTTTCCTGATGGGGGGGGAAATGAGGGGTTCCCTTTGACCGCCAAGGCCATGCTGGGGATCGCGGGACCTGCATGGATCAAAATCATGTGGGATGGGGCACAGGATCGGGAACTGAAAGGCTGAACAACTAGAAAATAAAATAAGAGAGAGAAGTGGACTCTAACTTGGAGAACCGGGTTTGATTCCCCACTCCTCCCCGTGAAGCCTGCTGGGGGACCTTGGGCCACTCACAGTTCTCTCCAAACTCTCTCAGCCCCACCTACCTCACAAAGTGGCTGTTGTGGGGAGAGGAAAGGAAGGTGGTTGTAAGCTGCTTTGAGACTCCTTAGGGCGGAGAAAAGCAGGGTATAAAAAACAACTCTTCTTCTTCTTCAGCATCCCATCCCACACAGTGGCCAGCCAGTTTCTCTGGAGGGCCAACACCATGTTGCCTTCTGGCTCTGGGATTCAGAGGATTACTGCCTTTGAATGTGGAGGTTCCTCTCAGTCACCATGGCTAATAGCCATTGATAGACTTATCCTCCATGAATCTATCTAATCCCCTTTTAAAGCTGTTTATTACTGTGGCCATCAGGAGGACATCCTCTGGCAGCGAATTCCACATTTTAATCACTCTCTGTGTAAATAAATTTGCTCTTACTGTGACGCTGCCCTGACCTGGATAGCCCAGGCTAGCCTGATCCCATCAGATCTTGGAACGCTAAGCAGGGTTGGCCATGGCTAGTATTTGGAAGCGCAACCTCTAAGGAATAACAGGGTCATGACGCAGAGGCAGGCAATGGCAAACCACCTCTGAAATGTCTCTTGCCTTAAAAACAAGTCTCGTTCACCTCCTAGTGGTGCATAACACTAAAGAGCTAGAACTTCTGCCTGCCAGACAATCTTAGGATCTCCTGTCTAGTCTACACACAATGCCATATGATAATTATTATAACTGTGGTACTGGGTAGGTATGGAAGCAATGGTCTGGCCTGGCAGCTTTTCTCAGAAATCCTGGGAACTGTAACTTTAATTTGGTGCAGATAATTCTCTCTTCGGGATTCTGCGTTCCCTTCTCTCTGAACTACAATCCCCAGGATTCCTTGAGAAAGAAGGAATTGCTTCAACCAGTTTAAGTCTGTGGCACTGTGGATACATCCTGAGTGTTTCTCCAACATGCTTTGTTTTGCATCTAGAAAAAACGTGGAGAAACGGACCCTGATGGAGAATATGGATGGGGCATTCCTTGTGGTGGATGAGATTGTCGACGGAGGGTGAGCTGCGCATAGAGAAAGAGAGAATGTTGTGCTGAGTTGACAGAGAAAGACGCCGTGAATTAAGAATCTGCTTAAAACAAATGGTTCACATCCTGTATGGCAGTATTATCCAAAAGCCCTTTTCCAGGGTGAGATGAGTTTGGCTGGTCTCAGCAAATTGCCTAACACACATGAAGCTGCCTTATACTGAATCAGGCCAGGGGTCATTTCCTGCAGGAGCGCACAGGAGCAGAGCTCCGGCAGTAAAGAGCCCAGGGGGCGGGCACATGCAACAAGCCCCACCCCCTGCTCCCAGCAGCCCTCAATCAGAGCAAGAAGCAGCCAGATAAGCTGCAAAGCCCCCCCTGCCCCCCCATCCCAAACAGTCCAGTGGCACCTTTAAGACCAAGTTTTATTCAGGTACAAGCTCCTCTGTGAGGGCAGATCTGCACGTCTCCCCCTCCCCCCAAATAGCTAGCAATCCAAAACAGTCCAGTGGAGCCTGAGCATTGGGTGTTGCCTTCTGACACACTTCCGGTGATGTCAGGGGGTGTGGCATAAGCAAATGAGTTATGCTAATGAGTTATGCTAATGAGCTCCTGCACCTTTTTTTCTACGAAATGACCCCTGAATCAGGCCATTGGTCCATCAAAGTCAGTATTGTCTGCTCAGACTGGCAGCCGGTCTCCAGGGGCTTTGATGGAGGTCTTTCACATCACCTCCTACCTGATCCTTTAACTGGAGAAGCCACGGATCGAACTTGGAGCCTTCTGCATACCAAGCAGATGCTCTACCACTGAGCCACAGCCCCTCCCCAAACACCACTCTCAGTTTTTAGTCTGGATATAAGTGTATCTGCTGTGGCTCACTCAAATCCGATTGCTAAAGCAGTCAACTATATCGAGGGTAAAACATTCTAAAAGATCACCCAGGTGGCTCCACAAAATCACATTAAGAAATCCCTTTACATGGTAATCTCGAGTAATGGATCCAGTTTAAAGCATGACCTCGATGAACGAAGTTTTCATGTTTTTACAAAACAAACCGTTATATCATCTGAACTGGGTCTCTTTCCTGCTTTTTGAAATCCTTTGAGACTCACACCTAACAGTAATTCCTCAACTGGGTAAGGTAGTTATGAGTCTCAGGAAGAGCAGCAGGCTATAAATAAATTGACTCAATAAACATCTATTTATTTATTTATTTGTTTAATTTCTAGCCCTCCCTCCCCACGCAGCAGGCTCAGGGCGGGTCACAACACTCTTAAAACATACAATAAGTTAAAATATAACACAGTTCTTAAAATTTATAAGTCACTAAACAGTACTAATACATGGAGCATTAAGTGGCGTCAGTTGCAGGCTTTAATGAGTCAAAGAGGACTCTGATTATGTGTAGCTGCAGATGGAACAGGACAAGGTAAGTGAGTTGGTGGGGAGAGCAGCTATGATGGACTAGAGCAGGGGTGTCAGACATAAGGCCCGGGGGCTGGAACCAGCCCATCCAGGGCTGTTATGTGGCCCGCAAGCAACTGGTGCAAGGGAGGGAATAGGAGGCTGCTCCGGTGGGGGTGGAGCCACTCCAATTGTGGCTTCAGCTCTGCGGGACAACCTTGTCTGCAGCAGTCAAGCAGAACCCTGTCACTTCAGGGACTGGTAAGTTGGGAGCTACTGCAGCCGCATTCATACCTCTCCACTCGGCCTGCAGCTCCAGGGATGCTGTCCCTGATGGCCGCAGAGACCAGCGTTTGCACATGGGTGTGTGTGTGTGTGTGTGCAGACGATCCTCTGTTGGGGCATGGGAGCATCTATCCAGCACTGCACTGCTGGCTCTCCAATCTTCCCATGTGGATTTTCTTTTGCACTGCCTCCAGTGTTCCCTCTAAGCTGAGTTAGTGTGAGCTAGCTCACAGTTTTTTTGAGCCTCTGACTCACACATTTTTGTCTTGGCTCAGGAAGGATGGCTCCAGAACAAACTAATTTATGCAGTAGCCAAATCACTCGCTCACAACTTTAATGCCAGTAGCTCACAATTTTTGCTCACAAGACTCCATACCTTAGCGGGAGCATTGACCCCCTCCCCCAGCCCATTGACCCCCTCCCCCTACAGTAAGGACAAACCAACTCGTTCTATGGCACACATAGCCCAGCTCAACAAATGACATTTATGTCAGATCCGGCCCTCATAACAAATGAGTTTGACGCCTCTGGACTAGAGCAAAGTAGCTAGAGTAGAGGGGGGGGGTTGTAGATAGATTAACACTGCCTCAATCATAGGCCTGGCGGAACATCTCTGGCCCCGGTCACACTAGCGGGAAAAGCCGCGGCAGAATTGCGGCTTTTTAGAGGCACAGCAGATTGAAGTGCGGCAGCGGGATCAGACAGATCCCCCGAGCCGTACCGCATTTGCTCCCCGGCATGATCACATGCCAAGGGGGAAGCGATGGGACGAAGGGCGAGGCAGCTGCGCAGTTGTGTGCATGCGCAGTGTGACAGGGTGTCCGCTAGCTGCCATTTTTTATGTGCACCTGTCCTTTCCTGACTGTGGCGCTATGGCGCATGCTTGCTTGCCTGGCTTTGCTAGCTTGCATAAACAGCGATAGGGAGGCTCTCCTGAGACCGTGCGAACTAGCGCTGCCAGACTGGGTTATCTGAATAACCTTGAGGAGGAGGGAGGGCTTGCATTCCATCTCTGGTGTGAATATTTCTGCTCTCATGAGGCACGGAGACTCTCCCGTTCATTATTTAACCTGTCTCCGGAAGAATTCCCCCCCGCGCGCTTGGATTTCATTTGCTTAGCCATTTGCAGCATCACGCTATATGAAGGGATGCATCCACCCCATTGTCATTCCTAACAATATCCCTGTAGACCATGGCAACAGACCTGTAATCAAATAAAGCATAACATTTCCCTGGAATTATGTGTGGAGAGTTGCTTGCTGTTGACCCTGACAGAATTGTTAGGAATCCTCTCTACCCCATTGGACCGAATCTCTCCTGAACGAGATGAGCGGCCCCGGAGGGGCAGGGGTTACCCCGACAACCACGTTGGTGCTTACACCGACCACCACGGTGGTGCCAGTGATGGTACCCACAACGGTGCCCACCATGGCCCCAACCACAATGGTCCCGGTGGTTCCCACTCCAACAACTTCGGGAACAAGGGCGTCCATGATGATGGCCCCACAGATGAAGCAAGCCCCGGAGGGCTGGTGTCAACCATTGGTGGTGCCACACCTCGGTTGGCAGTATCGTTCATCCCAGTACACTTTGGTCCAGGGGTGACCTGCTGCCACAAAGACTGGGACTGGCATTTGGGGGACTCTACGAAAACTACCTGGTCGATGCTGAGAAGTCGGAGTCGGGACAGTATTTTTGACTCCCGGTCGAACTCAGGGCGCTTCGGAATGCCCCCGGGTAGACCCATCACGTTCCCTTCGAGAACTTCGTTAAGTCCGGGGAGGGATGTGGATGGAAGGCTAGATAGCCTGGAACTGGACTGCTGCATGATAATGCGGGACATGGGGCAATTGCTTCAGAACCTTCTAAGGATTGTGGCCCATGCAGTGCAGACCCAACTTGCTGTCCCCCCCCCAGTACTTCCAGCACCTGGGCCCAGCTCAGGGCCGGGTCAGCCGATCCCTCAGCCGCAGCCGCCGCTGCCTCCTCCGCCGCCGCCACTGCCGCAGCCGCCGCAGCACCCAGTGCCGCCGGCAGGGCCCCTACCTCAGCCGGGCATGCCACGTCCGAAGAACTTATTTGACGTGACATTTGATGGTGACCCTGAGAATCTCTCTTTTTTTGTCGTGCGGGTAATGAAGTTTGTTGAGCGCTGGGCTCATTTGTTCCCTGACGAGGAGCAACAAGTGGATTTCATTGCCTCCCGCTTGAGAGGTGCAGCGACTACCTGGTATGTGGGCCTCTACGACCTGGAGGCTGTGGAATTGGAGAGCGTGGATGCCTTTATGTGGGCGCTAAGAGCCCGGTTCGAGGACTGCACCGCAGGCGAAAAGGCAGAGGCATTCCTCCGCACTTTTAAACAAGGCAAGTTATCCATCCGGGAATACTCCACTGAGTTCCACCAGCAAGCAGCAAAAATCCGAGACTGATCCGACCCGGTGTTTGTGCAGCAGTACCGGTAAGGACTGAACACGGATATTTGAAACTCAGTCATGGGGACCCGAGAACCTTGGCGGCTTGGATGCAAGTGGCGGAGAGCACGGAGAGCAGACTGTGCACCATGCGGTTGGATAACACGGTAGCGGCTGGAAGGGCACCAGCACCACCCCACCCCAAGGCGAAACCCCCCTTGCAGTTGCCATCGGTCAGGGAGCAATGGATGAAGCAGGGGCGCTGCCTAAAATGTGGGGAGCAAGGCCATTTCACCGCCAACTGCCCATCGGGAGAGGTGAGAGGATCAGGGGCAAAAGACGGTGACAAGCGCCAGAGCGACTTCCTGCCCAAAAAAGGGACAGCGAAAGCCAGGACCCCCATGCCCTGCAAGTTGGAGCATTGTGCTGGAGTATGTCTTGGGAGGAGGAGATGGAACCAGCAGGAAAAGGCCAGGTCCTGCTGTAAGTGGTGCGGAGCAGCAGGACCCAGCGACGGAGGTGCCTAAAGTGGTGAGCAGTTATCCCCCCCCTCTTTTTTGTGACTGTAACTCTTATGAACCCGGCTATAGGCACGCATATCAGGGTCCGGGGTCTCATAGACTCAGGGTGTGGGCGAGACCTAATCAACCCTTCCTTGGTCTCATGACTGGACGCTGACGTGGTCCGATTGGCCAACCCGTTAGTTTTTACCCAAATGGATGGGTCCGCGATGAAAAAGCCCTGTAGATTTGAGACTGTACCATTACGCATGGGGGCCGGGGATCATTGGGAAGAATGGACTTTTATTGTGTCCCCAAGGGCTAGATTTCCCCTGGTGTTGGGAAACCCGTGGCTCCATGGGCATGATCCCTATATTCTGTGGGGCGACAGGATTATCAACTTCATCTCCCCCAAGTGCCAGAGTCATGTTTGGAACACGAAGTGGGGGACAGCTCCTGACAGTACCCAAGTGCGGGCGTGTTTAGCTTCTGAGGACCTTGCTAAAATCGCTCAGGAGTATAAAGATTTAGCCCGAGTTTTTGCTGAAGAGGAAGCCGATGAGCTCCCCCCCCCCACAACTCAGACTGTGCGATTGAGTTGTTGCTGGGACACAAAATGCCCAAGGGAAAGCTCTATCCTATGAGTCCCTGGTAGAATTACGAAAATTTATTGATAAAAACCTGGCCAGAGGTTTCATCCGGCCAGCCTCCTCCCTGTTCGCAGCCCTCGTGCTTTTCCGGAAAAAGAAGGATGGGGGTTTGTGGCTTTGCACCGACTACCGGGGGTTGAATGCCGTTTCCTCCACGAATGCTTATCCCATGCCGTTAATCAAAGATCTCTTAGCCAAAATGGCCAAGGGAAAGATTTTTCCAAACTTGATTTACGGGACACTTAGTTTTGTGTGCATATACGAGAGGGGGACAAATTCAAGATAGCTTTCAATACCCCTTTAGGCCACTTTGAATACCCGGTGATGCCATTCGGTCTCCAGGGGGCTCCGGGAGTATTTATTAATTTGATAAATGTGTTGCATAAGCACCTGTTTCAAGGGGTCCTTGTCTATTTAGACGACATTTTACTGTATTCCCCTGACAAAACCTCTCATGTGCAGTTGGTCAGAGAGGTGCTCAAAATGTTGCATAAGCACAAACTGTTTGCCAAACTATCAAAATGCGAGTTCCATCAGACAGAAATTGACTTTTTGGGTTATCACATCTCTCCCCGTGTCATAGAAATGGACTAATTGTGCTACCTGTGTAAGATTAACTGCACACTCTAAATAGAGTTGTTAATGTGTAAACCCACATGCCAACTGAGATTCTGGGAACCTCTAATCTCAGGTTGGTGGGGGATTAAGCTCAGAGAGGTTCCTGGTGGCTATTGTTCTTAAATCCAGAGAGCCTACCTTTCTGGGTTATTGAGTAATGTATGGTGCCCGTGCAGAATTCTTTCCCCCATCCCTGGACTGGCTTGGAGGAGAGAATCTACACACCTGCATCATGTGCAAACCCCAGAAAGGGAAACCCCCTGGATTATTGAAACCTTTACCAAACCCAAGCAGACCGTGGGAAGTGATCTCCATAGATTTCATCACAGACTTACCTCCTAGTAAAAACATGACTGTAATTTGGGGGGTGGTGGATTTGTTCTCCAAAGAAGCCCATTTCATCCCATTCCTCAGTTTGCCAACAGCACGGACGTTGGCTAAAGCATTTCTCAAACATGTTTTCAGACTACACATTTTGCCTACCAAGATAATAATGGACAGGGGCTCCCAATTTATTTCGAGATTCTGGGGGGAGCTCATGGAACTCATGAAGATAGAACGGGGCTGAGCAGTGCCTACCACCCAGAGACTGATGGGTCAATCGGAACGTGTTAATCAAACACTTGAACAATATTTACGGTGTTTCACAAACTATCAACAAGACAACTGGGTGGAATTGCTGACTTTAGCTGAATTTTGTTATAATAATGCTCACCAGTCCTCCATAGGAGTATCACCGTTCAAGGCTGCTCTCGGCTATGACAGCCCCCCGATTCCTTTTCTAACATCAAACCCTCGGAAAGGGGGGGAGGCATCTGACTGGTGTGAAGCATTAAGGGAATCGTGGCCACAGATATGTAAGATATGGCCAAGGCAGCATACAAGCACTAGGCTGATAAGAAATGGGTGGAGGGTTGGGTTCTGAAGCCTGGAGATCAAGTATATGTGTCCACAAAGAATCTGCGAGTTTCTCAGTCCTGTCGAAAATTGGCGTGGAAATACATTGGTCCTTTTAAAGTGGTTCAATTGATTAATGAAGTAACTGTTGAACTGGACTTAGCCAAGAACCTAAAACATGTCCATCCAATTTTCCATTTCAGCTTATTGAAATGCAGTCCAGAAACTAATCAATGACGCCCGGAACCGGCAAGATCCCCCCCCCCTATCCTAGTGGAGGGTGAAGAACATTATGAGATCTCAGACATTCTGGACTCTAAAATGAAATGTGGGCGATTGTACTATCTGGTGGAATGGGTGCATTGGGGTCCCCAACATCGGGAATGGGTGGAGGGAAAGGATGTTCGGGCCCCTGACCTTTTGAGGAGATTCCACGGCCGCTTTCTGGACAAACCGGGAGATCTACCGGCCGCTCCGGGAGGAGGTTGATATATTTTTGAGGGGGCAGGATGTCAGCTAGCTGCCATTTTTATGTGCACCTGTCCTTTCCTGACTGTGGTGCTACGGCGCATGCTTGCTTGCCTGCTTTGCTAGCTTGCATAAACAGTGATAGGGAGGCTCTCCTGAGACCGTGCGAACTAGCGCTGCCAGACTGGGTTATCTGAATAACTTTGAGGAGGAGGGAGGGGTTGCGTTCCACCGTTGGAGTGAATATTTCTGCTCTCATGAGGCACAGAGACTCTCCCGTTCATTATGTAACCTCCCTCCGGGAGAATTCCTGCGCGCGCGCTTGGATTTCATTTGCTTAGCCATTTGCAGCATCATGCTATATGAAGGGATGCAGCCACCCCATTGTCATTCCTAACAATATCCCTGTAGACCATGGCAACGGACCTGTAATCTAATAAAGCATAACGTTTCCCTGGAATCGTGTGTGGAGATTTACTTGCTGTTGATCCTGACAGAGGGCTTCGCATATCATGGGATACGGGCGCGTTGGCGATCACACAGCTGCCCATGCTGCGTGTTTCCCAGTAAGTAGCAGTCTTTTGCAGGTCTCTTTTAAATCCGCGTTTTCGGCCGGTAGTGTCGGGTTGGGGACGGGGGCGTAACGCTTGCCAGATGTTGGCATCTGATAGTGCCAGTTTAATCCGCCCTCAACCCGTCCGTTTCGCAGGGCAAATCCTCCCGTGTGACCGGGGCCTCCTTTTTACAGGTCTTGCAGAACTGCATAAGATTCCGCAGGGCCCAGATCTCACTAGGGAGAGTGTTCCACCAGGCTGGCGCCAGAGCCTATCTGGTCGAGGCTAAGTGTACATCTTTTGGGCAGGGGATCACCAGTCTTCAGGAGCTTTGCTGCAGAGTGAAGGGCTTTCCCCTCTTCTGTTTTTAAAGGACTTAATAATTGCTCTTGTGCTTCTACAGTCTGACCAGGGAGTGCTCAGAAGTAAATAGGTAATGGGGTTGCACGGCACAAAATGGTTTTACAAACTTGCTTGGATAAATAATTAAGGACCGTGCTCTGTACTGCCGTGTATAGTTTATTGTGGACCCTATTTATGTAATTTCTGTACCGCTTAGTGTGTGATGTGAATAATTACGCTGTGCTTCAGTGGCTCCAGAATTCCTGGTGGCTCCAGAATTCTGAAACCCCCTGATGCCTGTGTTATGGGGTGTCCCGTTTTTTTTGTGATTGGACTGTTTCACTATCTGTAATCCGCCTTGAGTCCCTGTGAGAAAGGCGGGCTATAAATAACGTAAATAAAATAAAACAAGAATGAAACTTCTAAAATATATAATGAAATAAAAGGCTCAGGGATCGCATGGTATTGCTCAGCACCTGTGATGGCACATGCTCTAGCCAGTAGGTGCTTGTCACATTTGAGTGGTTGGTCTAAACTCCATGAAGTGTATTTGAAGATATCGTTTATCTTAACATAAATGCTTTGCACAGCCACAAAATAATGTGGCTTGACCACGGGGGGAAATGCAGTTTCCCTGTAGAAGAACAGCTTCCTTGAGGCGAGCCATGTAGCTTTCTCACATCTGCAGAATAACAACTGTACGCAAACAACAAAAAAAGCCCCAAAGCCATTTAAGGTCACATCTAATCTTATACATTGGGTTCTTCATTGCTGGAGATAACAGAAAGATATTCGCCCTCCCAAAGATGTTAAATGTCTCTTTTCCCCTTTTTTGTATTCTAGTGTGATTCTCGAAAGCGATCCCCAACAAGTCATGCAGAACGTGAATTTCAGGGTGAGTGGTCTCCCTTTCCATTTTCCCCTTTCTCCCTTGGATCATCCTTCCACTTGGGCTGCCTACTTCACCTCCTCCCCAAAACTCTTTCCATCCCAGATGGTCCCAGAGCCGGCGGCTTACGGCTTCGTTCTGATTGATTATGTCACGGGTAACTCGGAACAGAAAGACATTATACCCGAGAGATTGTACAAATAGCGCAGTGCTGTTGAGGAGTAAGACAGCTCCCCTTTTTAAGCATGTGCACTCTGATGTGGTGTGGCGTGCCGTTGTCTGGGTGGCAATCATCCCGCTCACTTTATCCTCTGCTCCCATTTATCAGGGAAAGCCCCCTCTCCCTTAGTTTGGCTTGTCTTTTACATACTTTAGGGCAGGGGTCCCCAACATGGTGCCAAGGTGCCAGCCGATGCCTTCTCTGTTGGCCGCCAAGTGGTTTTAGAAAGTGGGCAGGGCCATCTGGGGCTTTTCCCAGCAAGGCTTCTGACTGGCCATTGGAAATTTGATTGGCGGTGCAGATTTTTAGAAATGTGGCTTTGGCCCAAGGTTCTTCACCGTGTGACTGAAGGTGAGCTGTGGCAGCCATTTTGTGGCTGGCTCCACTGCCTGCAAGCAGCCGTTTTGTGGCAGCCATTTTGTTTCAGAAGTCCAGTTGCCTGCAGACTCAAAAAGGTTTGGGGGCCCTGCTTTAAGGCCCCGTTAGAAGCTTTGGCTGCAGCATGTGTGTGTGAATGTTGAGGGAGAGGGTTACAATTAAAGTAAATTAAGTCAGCACAGACACCGTGAAGTCCTGGCGGCTTTCATCCCAACAGAACCATTTAGGGAGAGGGATTTCAGGCCCCTCCTTCAGCTGGGCCACATCCATACCTCACTGGATATAGCACTATCCCTATGCTGTCGCAATCCTTTTCAGCTGGATCAGCTTGTTCAGGCTGGATAATCCAGATACAAATGACTGCTATAGTGCAGAGACAGTGCAATACGGGAGGAATAGTCCTATTTATGAAAGACTATGTCTGCTTTTTATTACACTTTATGCCATTAAAGGTTCCTGAAACTGAACTGACAGTGCAATATCCAATAATGTGTGGGGGCCTCTCTCTTTATTTATCAGGAACGTCTCTGTATCTAACAGCTCACAGTGGTATCCAAACTGGATGAAGTATTAGAGGGCTATATTCAGATCAATTTGTGACTTTGTAGTTCTGTTAAGAACAACCAATGGAGGCCCTGGGGAGATGTTATCACTTTCTTCCCATGCTGTTTTCCTGATGCAAAACTTACACACATGCACACGTCTTATCTGGGAGAACCAGGTTTGATTCCCCACTCCTCCACATGCAGCTGGTGGTGTGACCTTGGGTCAGCCACAAGTTCTTTCGGAGCTGTTCTCTCAAGAACAGTCCTCGAAAGAGCTCTCTCGGCCCCACCTACCTCACAGGGTGTCTTGTTGTGGGGAGGGCAAGGGAAAGGAGATTGTAAGCCATTCTTGAGACTCCTTCGGGTAGTGAAGGGTGGATTATAAATCCAATCTCTTCTCTCTCACATGCAGACACATACTGAAATTGATTTTTGGCCAGATTGTACCTGTATAATCCTTTTCAAATGTTTGATTTTTGGCACTCCAACCATGTGTATTAAGAATATAGGAAGCCCTCTCCTGGACCAGGCCAGTAGTTCATCTAGTCCACTTTGTCTGACACAGTGGCCAACCAGTATTCTGGAGGGCCCACAACAGGGCATGGAGTCTGAGGCCTTCCCTTGTTGCCTCCTGGCTCTGGGATTCAGAGGTTTACTGCCTCTGAATGTGGAAGTTCCCTTTAGTCATCACGCCTAGTAGGCACTGACAGACCTACCCTCCATGGGTAAGAGAAGCCAGAAGGAAAAAATGGCCCCAGAAAACACCCCACCCAAACAAAAGGGTGAGGAAGAGTATGCCTGCCTGCCTTGCCAGCCCCACTTGCCACCCTTGCCATTCTTGGATTCTTCCCACCCATGTGGAGGGGTTCAGGCCATCGGCTCACTTGGAGAAGTCTCAGTGGCCATAATGGTTCATGTGTTCCCAATGGGAGCTCACGCCACCCACGATCCTCCCCGTAGATGCAGTCATTGTTTTGTGTGAATCGGGCAGTCCGTGAATCTTCCAGCTTTGGTATGTGCAAACGGAACACAGGGGTTTTGAGGGTAAAAAAGGTAAAGGTTCCCTTGCTCGAAAGCCAGTCGAATCCGACTCTAGGGTTGCAGTGCTCATCTCCGTTTCAAAGCCGAAGAGCCAGCGCTGTCCGAAGATGTTTCCGTGGTCATGTGGCCAGCATGACTAAACACCAAGGGGCACGGAACGCTGTTACCTTCCCACCGAAGTGGTACCTATTTATCTACTTGCAATTTCTTGCTTTCGAACTGCTAGGTTGGCAGGAGCTGGAACTAGAGACGGGAGCTCACTCCGTCATGCGGCACCCGGTTCTCGAACTGCTGAACTACTGACCTTCCACAGCCTGCAGTTCAGCGTCTTAGCCACTTGAGCCACCACAGCTATACTGAAGCAGTACATGTGTGCAGAAATAACCATGTTTTCTATTAATGCACAATGGCAAATGAGCATAACAGGAAGACTATGGGTGGCACACGCATTCATCATGTGCAGCTGGAACAGGAAAATCAAATGTCTGGAAAGGACTTAACATTTTCCCCCCATAGCAAGCCCACTGAGATCTGTATTGGGAAAACAGTACAGGCCAGGGGAAAAGTTTTTTTAAAAAAAACCCTCTTCATTTCTGCCCCCCTCCTCGGTTGTGCCACACCCTCCCCTGCCCATCTGTTATGTATAGAAATATCTGAAGCCAGGAGATCTGATTACAGCTCACCCTAGCTGTGCCCCGAATGTGTATTGTAGTAAACCATTAACGTGGTCTCTGAGATAGCTCTAATAATTTCTCCAGTTTTGAAAACTGAAACCAAGTGCAAAGTAAAACCTGATGCACGCGGCGAACATTTCTAGACTTGTTATGAAGCATCAGAAAACATTGAGCGTGTACAAAACAGATACGCTTCATGTAAACGGCTTTTTTAAAAAGTTAGGCTCAGATGTCAATGTGTAACTCGTGGCCGACGCAGGGAATTACAGTCAGACAGCAGCTGCAAGTTCCTTATGGGAATTCGTCTCCGTGGCACTGCAGGGACCCAGTTTGGATCTGGATGGAGACATGAGGGGGACATGTTCAGCCTCCCTGCCCACACCAGTTTCCAACTTGAAACTGTCTGGGGGGCATTATTTGTCTCACTAGACAGCTGCGCATACAAGTATTCAGTGAATGCATCCAAGAGGGAGTCTTGCCATGAATTTTGTCTCCATCACTTGTGGCCTGAGATTGCCCTCCTGATGGATTCCCCATCCCCAGCTATGTACCCCACTACACAGTTTCCCAAGTGCTCAGGGGATCGGTCTGCCATGGCTTCTGATCTTGTTTTGCAATCTGGTAAGAGCAGATGAGGGTGGATGTTCAGGGCAAAAAGGGGTGGGGGAGGCAAAAAGGAGGAGAAGAAGAAGTTGTTTAACAACAGCAACAGGGAGAGGAGGAGTTGGTTTCATTCCCTGCTCTTCACTACACAAAGGAGCAGCTTACAGTCGGAGCAGCTTACGGTCTCCTTTCCCTTCCCCTCCACACAGCAGGTACCCTGTGAGGTAGGTGGAACTGAGAGAGCTCTTTCAAGAACTGCTGGTGAGAGAACAGCTCTGAAAGAACTTGTGACTGACCCAAGGTCACTCCAGCAGCTGCATGTGGAGGCGTGGCGAATCAAACTGGGTTCTCCAGATTAGAGTCCACTACACCAGGCTGGCTCAAGTCTATAGCTTGTACATGTCTCAAGTCCATAGCTTGTACAGTTTCCTCCAAAGAGGCCAGGGCATTGTATCTGTTGTTTCTCTCTTCTTCACAACAGCCCTGTAAGGTAGGCCAGGCAGAGAGAGTGACTAGCTCAAGGTCATCCAGTGTGCAGAATGGGGATCTGAACCTGGGTCCTAGCCCAACATTCTGACCATGCTGGCACTCATATTAGTACACCGAGCAAACACTGATGCATCTTGTCCCTCTTGCTTTATCCCAGGCAGCCTGCAGTCCTTGCAGTGTGACAGGGCAGACGGTCTGGCCCTTCTCCTTTCTCACCTGCCACAGCAATCCACAGCCACTCCCCCTCCTCTTCATAATATATGCAAAAGTTAAACACAAAAAACTGGCAGGCTGCCACGTGTTATCATCCGTTAGAAATAGGCTGAGCTGCTGCAGTCCCATAGAATGTCCAGGTGCTTTCTTATGGGTGGGGGAAAGGCCATGGAATGTTCACAATGTGTTCAGTTTCTGTGAGGGAACTCGGTGATTACCTGAGCTAGGGAAACCTCATGCTGGGCATAGGAAGCTCTGATGGCCCTGTCCACTTCCCTCCCTCAGAGGCAAGATTTCCCCTCTGTTTCCCTTTCCCTTTACTGACAGAGCCACCCTAGTAACGTGCTTTCTTCTTGGCTGAAGAGCTCTGGCTGTCCCACCCTGTTCCCGTACCATATTTTGGCTGTTGGCTCAGCCCAGGAACCTGAGGGAAGGATCAGGAGCCCCCTTTAAATTAACCGACTTAAATGGCACTTGGGGTGTTTTGAAATTCAAAAATAGCAATCTGTTTTATTTAACATAGAGGGGAAAGGTCAGGTGAAATCAAGGGTTGAAATTCCTGTGGTAAAATCAGTACATGTGCAGGTTTTAGTTCTTATGTTTCAGGCTAATGAGAGTTTCTTAAGGTGTTCAGAGTTACTTTCTCAAAAACCGCCAGTTCACTTTCTTAGAGTGTTCTCTGACTCTTTTGGTTTCCAGAAGGCTGGTACACTCTTTCCAGTACCCAAACTCCTCCTCTTGAAACACCAGTACTCAACTTGAGTTTTTAACTTCAGGTCTCCAAAGGCAGTTTTTAAACCACACCAGACCAGGGATCGCTGCACTCTTCAGAGCTGTTTGACTGGGTAGGGAATTTTATTCTCTCTCTAGAAGATCTATCCCCTTTCCTTGGTCCGAATGGGAGTCTTCACCTACTTCCCAAACTTCCTTGCCAACTTCCCCTCAATTTTCCTGTCTGTGTTAAACTGCTCTCAGCTACGGCTGAATTCCGAAACGGTCAGTACTCGACTCTTCTCAGCTAGGGCTTCAATCAGCCTGACTCTCTCCTCAGTATCCAG